AAAATACATATTTTTTTCTACTAACACACCTTCCCATAATCCATTGTTTGTGTAAATGCCGATGACAAAAAAAAATAAATCACTAACCAATAATAATGATGGACGTGCATTACACGCCCTCACAAGAACAATTCAATGTATACTAATTTCAGTAAGCCAAACAATTTACAACCAGAAGCAAAATAACTAGAAAAAGAGATAAAAATTACAATAATGCTAACCTTTAACGAGCACATGGAATTCTCACAACACATTATGAAAAACTTGGAATGTTGTTCTTCTCTCTACATCATCAAAAAACAGGATTTCATGACATTAAATCTATAAATAGCAATAAAAAATGTCACACAACATATGTAAATATATATGGATACAATGATTCTTCATTAGATTCTCTTGACCCTGTCTAACCCCATCAATGGAATAATCCTGAAACAGGTATAGAGCACAGATCAGTCCATTCTGAACACACAGGGTTCTAAGGGTGTTGTGTTGAATGAGAGTGGTTCGGTTTCAATGAGACAGTTTCACTGTATAATCATCACGCAATCTCAGTCACAGGGAGAAATCATCTCATATTCTGTAACGACTTAGAAAAGCGCAGAGAGGGACAAAATCTGTGGAGCTTAAATGTTTTTATCTTGGCTAGATGTGAGGAAAGGACGCGAACCCTCCAATAAAGAATACGATTACAAATACCTTGAACAAAAACTCCCCTTACTGGGTAAATACAGTTTTCTTCACATCTTTGTAATTAAGTCTTGTTAATACCCAGTCAGAAATGTAACATATAAATATATATAATATTCAATGACGCAATGAGATTTGGTATACTGATTGACTTCAGCTTGTTTTACTGACACTCTCGCGATTGTTATTTCCATCATCATCCCTCCATTTATCCAGACTTCGACGTCTTGCATTCATAAAGAAATTTGCCACTGTGGTGACTTCCAGTCCAAGCTGTTGTGCTATAGTTGCCTGCATTTCTTTTGAGGGCCTCTTCGTTTCCTTAAATATTGCATGTAGTGTGCGTCTCTGAATATCAGTAAATACTAAACGAGGTTTCTTAGGTGATCTGCTGTCCTGCATTGGGAGTTCTTGTTCTTTCCGCTTACAAGCTGAAATCAAATATATTGAACAAATTAACAAGAAGCTTGCAGAACAGAAACTTAAATTATTGTTCATATTTTTCAAATCATTTCACTGATACTTCATCAAAACATGTCTCTGACCATGAATGCATGCTACAAAATTTACATTTGACAACAAACACAACACTTCATTCACGCAAAAGCTACTGGAACTATATCTTGTACAATTCAAGTAGTACACGATATAGTCCCAAATAAAAATAATGAAACAAGAACATGTGAAAAAACTAAAAATACACATTTTTAATAGTAATAAAAAGTGCACATTTTCTTCTTCTTTTTCATCAAGTTTTCTTTTACACTTAGCATCATGGCTCTAGAATATATTACATTTAAAGTTTCTAATATCATTTTAGACCCCTACCAGATTTCCCTTTTAAACCAAGAACCTTTCATTTAATTCAGTAATCAGTACCCAAGTTTCCCATTATTAGGCTGTGTAAGGCAGACATTAAGACTTGGTTTTTCCTCTGTAAAACAGCTGGGTGTGCAGTATGCGTGGTAAAACTCCTGGCTTCTCAGGTTAATTATTTATATTTATACTTTTACCTTCATCAAATATTAAGGGCAATTTGGATAATAAGACAGTATACTAGTGGAAAGATCTGCTTTCCAAATGCGACGTGTATCTATCATCCTTCAGGATTAATCAAGTGTGAACTTAGCCATATCTGCTTCCACAACTATAGAAGGGAAAGTCTGAGCCCCAATCATTATTACGGTAGATAAGTGCAATTTCTGTTCCTCCTCTGAAGGGTGTCATCTATAAACAGGGTCATAACTTTAGTTGTCTAATTTTTCTATGATGCTACACTGGTAATTTGTCCTATGTTATCTTAAATTCTACACTTTTCACTGCAGAAAATGCATGGAATCCCCATTTAGAATTCTTTATGAGCTTTATCATGTTACTGTACCAAGAAGTGGCCTAAAATAAACGGTTATTACAAGTTGGCCAAACTCTTCAGGATAACTATTTGTGCATTTTTGGATGATAAGACCTGATTTTTTTCAATTAACTCTGAATTTCAAAATTTACGAGGGTACTATTAACTGCCAGAAGGCAAAATAACCGTACTAAATTAAAGAAGATCCGTTATAAAAATTGTATATGTTTCTTGTAAATTTTTTTCAATGTTGACTTAACCTATCTGCGCTATCTAATTTAGGAAGAAAACTGGCGAGAAAAACAGGAATACATGTATTTACACTAGCTATCTCCCCCATCTGTGACAAAATAAGGCATGTCCACATTCTCTGACCCTCTAATCCCCTGCTGGCATCTTTATGAAAAATGAAAATGACACAAGAACACAAGCTTAGTCTTGGTAGGTAAATTGTCCACGGTGTAGTAATAAGAAATCAGCTGCTGGGTTTATTTAGCAATCAGACAATATTCCCATTGCCAAGAGAAGTGTCGCGCCACTCAGTAACACAAATATGGCAGGTAAATTTCACTAGGTAATTCACACCTTTCTCAGGACAATCACAAACTACGCCAGTGCACCTGTCCACCGAAGTCGACAAGTGACCCTAACACTACCTATATCTATTATAGTTAATGGTGAGAAAATAATCTAGCATGGATTTGGAGATTTTAATTTGTTAGGAACGAGGAACATCAAAGACTTAACTCTTGATCTCCCCAGCGATCTATCTCACTGAAATCATCCGAAATTTCTCTTTCACTTTGATTTAAAAGTCAAAAAGTAAGAGTTGGGATGGCACTGAACTGTCTTTTATCAACATTTTTGTAAAATCTGTATTTTGGTCTAATTTTTATGGGTGAGAATGAGCAAGACTAGTCCCAGCTTGGTGCTAGAAAAAAAAGGGCAACAAACAATATTAAAACTAAGTTAAGCCTTGCAGAATCAGAAATCCCTCAGTTCTCCTGCATACACAAAGCTGGCTGCATAGAACATCAGAGTTAATGAGCTGGAATTATATACACTGACAATGGCACTAATTTACCTGTCCAATCACAACGGCTAGCTTTAGCCTTCGCACCTATTCTCTACCGCTAAATACTCAACCTTAACGAGTTTATACTCTTCGGTTTAATGAAAACTCTCTTCCCTAATGAAAATTGTATAGTTGGCAACAAAAAACTAACTAGCAAAGGAGAAAAGTCGGATTAATAATACAATCTACTGTTTCAGCTCAAGAGAAATCATAGGCATGAAAACCTTTTTTGGCCTCTAATTTAAAAATAATTTAGGTCCAATGAGAAAACTTTGATAATGCAATTAATTTCAATGTGCTATATTCAAAGTGGACTTCATCTTTCATCAAGAATTTAATGAGAAAAAAAAATCCTACAGAGCTCTGAGAGATTTTCTCCTGGTGATGCCACTACAGTTTCATGTTCTTAAAGCCACCTCTATTCATTTGAATGCAACAGGATGATAGGAGATTTCATTAGAAGATTGTACCCTATCTCACATGTGAAAAGACCCAGGTAGATTATCATGACAAAACACCGTTTCTGCTCATTCCATACCGTCCTGCAAGACTCAACAAAGGCCAATGGGAAAAAAGCACCTAGTTGCCTAGACAACCAATTAGCTGAAAACTATTCCAAGATTTGATATCTGTTCCAAGTGAATGAAGTGTTACATAGGAGATAGGCGTTCTCTTTCCATAAATCATACAGGAAGAATGTGCTGAGGAAAATCAGTCCACATCCAGGAGAAAGGGACAGGAAACTACGCGAGAAAAAGACAGAGAACTGAACAATTTATACGACTGTTGATTAATTTTTGGATTAAAAAAGTTTAACTAAACTTACTAGAAGTGTTATGAATTTTACTTCATAACATAATCTTTTTAACTCTACCTAAAAGACATAGTTTGGTTTTTTTTAAATTTTAAGACGTGTGATTATAAAGAGCATAAAATAATTGATAGTGATGAAAAAGGAAGGTGTTTTAATCTAAGGGAATCAAACAGCTGACAATGCAATCAGAAACAAGATTTCGACAGCCTCATGTTTATTGTTCTGCAACAAATTCTATTTACACTCCAGTATTTTTATGGATTTTATAGATTTGTTTTGAAATTTCTCGTGCAACAGAATACTTGAGTTCTAAAAATGGTCCTGGGGATCAATAAACTATTAAACTTGAATTTATCTAGCAAAGATAGTCCTAATAGTCGGCAGAAGCGCCTGGTTGGAATGCAAACACGGAGTTAAGGCCTAAGCCAGGATGGCATTGTGTGCTACATTTGTGGGCCCATCACAAGAGACCTGGAGACTAGCAGCTGTCTTAGGCAATGACGTCAAAGCTGCTTTTGAAAGGCAATCAAGGAAGAGAGTACTTAGCAGCATCCAAACATTCCTACAACATGCATAACCGATAAGACTATACCAATTATACCAAATTCATACACCCAGCCTCTGTATATTCTCCCTTAGTTAATTTTAGCATTTGTTTCCTTAATCGCAAAAATATAATGTCCTAGAATCTTTTTACGTACTGTAAACTTAAATTCCCCCCCCCCCCAATAAGGTCCCCCCCCCCCCGACATGCACTGGGAGACAAAGGTCATTATTCAGTGTTAAAAACAGAATTAAAATTTTTGCTTAATGTGAGTAGAATTAACATTATATAAAGATAGATTTCTTGAATTGCGATTGCATCCAATTTGTGACAATTTTCCACAGAAAATTTGTGACAACGTACCATGGGAAAATTAACACTGGAAAAAGTACATCTTTAGTAATTTATTTTGGCTTTTTATATCCGTATTTCTGCTAGTACACAATTCTAGTTTCATTTTTTAATTTCTGTTTAGAAACCTTTAATAACTTAACAAGTACAAGGACAGAACAGTTATCTTTTGTCTCCTCAATGGAAACTTTATCTGTTGAATAATTCTAATATAAATATTTGACAACCCTTTATTTGAAGCAGTTGAAGATATCTTAACCAAAACGTCACTTTTGAGATAAGATTTGTAAATAAAAAATTCTTCTAAACTTCCGTAATTTAAATTTTTTTTCTCAATCTCTTATTGTGTAAATGAAATATTTACATGTACCAAAGAAACATGTTCACTCAAATATATAATTTAAATCCAGACTTTTCTGTTGCATACATAAATCATTTAATGCTTCTTACAAAATATCATTTAAATAGGATCTATATTTAGACATTAGACATATCTGGGAACTTAAAAGCTACACTTTAAACTATCACTTCAATTCTTTGCAACAGAAAGAAAGGTAAGTAGATTGACAGTGGGTAGCACTGAACAGGTAACCCTGACAGTATGTTTGAGTCTTCAGTGACTTGGAGAGCCCTGTTACTTACTTAACCATCTAACCGTCAGACCCCCCTAGCAAAGGACTACCATCTAGAGGAACAACCCAGTCACTCTCAAGGGTCTTCATTGTCGACAGCCAAACTGTCATTCTGAACAGTTTGCTGCAAGCCCCCAACTCTCCATGTGGATGTCAAGGAGGCAAATCACACACACGAACTCCACAAAAAGGCACAGTTGTCCATTGTGGAGGTAGAAGTCTTGTTTTCGTTGTTGTTTTACCAGGGAATGCGTGGTATTAAAGCATGGGGACTAAATTTGTCAGCTTTACCCTTGTTATCTTACACAAGGCAAACAGGGATACCCCCAGAATAAAAGAAACGAGCATTCATTTCACTGTATTCAAAATCTGGACAAATATTTAGCATTTATAAAGGAAACTTGACTACTCAGAAAAAGAAAATCATTTAGGGGGGAAAAATTGTGGAAAATTCTGTTTAAGAAATAAAGTGTTTGTTTGATAACGATAAAGAAATAACTTGGGTAAATACATACACTTCTAAACCCATGGGCACAACACTAAAAGAAGTCTTTTTAAATCTTTTCTCCTGCTCTAAGTTTGATAGATCAAAAGAAGAACCATTATGATTTTTTAATATCATAAAAAGAAATTCTCACCATTTAACATTTTTACAAGTGGTTCAATTGTCTAATATTCTTTTTACGATGACATCCATTTTTGAACTATGGATAATTATGGAGAACACTTTTTGAATTGTGCTAGTAGAATATGGCGATCTCGTACCAAACTACAACCATGCGTAGAATACAAACCTGTCCAACTGAAACAAGTCAAGGTCAGTATCATCGTCTGTAAGGGGATATTCTGAAAGGTAAACACACCTCATAGCAAAAGAAATCAACAGTCTACTCAAAGACTAATGCAAACAAGGCTTCTCAACATGTCAACATTTAATATTAACAATTTGACAAAGTCTTCTTTTGAAAGAATTTTCATTTTAATTTATGAGATTTCATACACAAATTATTTGAATTTTAGATTATGATAATGAAAAATATACACATATAAGAATTGTTATAATTAATTATCTGCACAACAAATGTTGACAATTTTGAAAAGTCTTTTGTATAAAGAAAGCAAAAAATAATAAAGTCACCAAAATCCAACATAAAAAATGCACTTGGCAGAATTTGTATATATAGCATGCATTTTGTTGGTTCAGAGACAAGTTTTTTTCTTTCTATAAGGTGAGAACAGGATAAACATAAATATGTAATAAAAACCACTGCCCATCATCGAAATCGTCGGACCAAGCTTTTTCTATTGCAGAGAGAAAATTATGAAAATAATGATGAAAGACATGCCTTTCTTGTGGAAAATTTATAATGTGAATAAGAATTTCATAACTGCATTTAGTTGCACTAACATTTAAAATCTTGTTTTTAAAAATCAAAATATCTTACTGAATTTTTTTAAAATTCATGAATATCACATTGAATTGCAAAAAGCCATCGAAATGCAGGCTATAGTATGATGTTTAATCCCAATCTTTGGTATTTACTTTTGATCGTAGCATGCTTTTTTACCGAGATCTTTAACAAAGACTTTCCAGAATGTGTCAATCATCTTTACTTCAATAGAGTTGGTGTGACAACAAGATTATAAGTAACAAAACAAAGTCCAGAGGACCTCGATGTGGTACAGCGAACACAGAACAACACGTTTCTCCTACCTATTGTGTTGGGGTGACCAAAGCCTGAGGGCGGGGACCCATCTTCTTTTTTAATGTTGGCTTCATTGAATGATTTTCCTATGGAGAGAATAGTAAAAATTGGTATCTTTATGAACACATGTTTTTCGTTGCTTTTTTCAGATTTGTTACCAAAGTCCAAAATGTTTTCAGGAAATTGTAATGTTTTCCAGTTTTTTAATCTCTTTTTTCAATGGACTTGACACTAAAACATTTCAGGTCCATTCTTGTAGCACTGAAAAGATGCATGCTCATATATAAAATTTTATTGAAAAAAAAATCAAATAATTTAACACACTCTGAATCTAAACTGGTGCTCAAAGTCCTGCTAGAGACCAGACATGGGGAGTTGTTGAGAGAGAGACACTCTGTTACAAAACAACAGACAAACACAAATAAAACAGCTGGGGAACAAAAACATTAAATGTAAGAGGATAGTCATTATTATATAATAAGAAAACATGATCTTAGTAAAGGGTAATTAAGTCACAGCAACAAGTATAAAGGAGTCATCCATTTCATCACCTTTATTATTCTATAGCTGAGATATCTTTGTTGCTATCTCACTGACTAACAACGCTAAAAAATAATTTACTGGTGAAGATGTCCATGACTTAATTAGACGTCTATGTATAGATACCCATGGTAATACCCCTTAAGGTATTATTCTTACAAAAGATTAAAAGACCTGCTCCCTTTATACCTTGATGTAGGAAAAAAATTAAAAAATTCTGTATCAGGTCTAACACAAAGAAAGTTTTCCTCTTTTTGATTTAATTCTGATGTTTTCAGAGACAAATTAAGATTCAAATCTTCTGGTTGGAGAAAGAAGAATAATTCTGTATCTATACCACACCATCTTCAAACATGGAACTCACAGAAGGAGTGTGAAAGCAGCTTAGTTGCTATGGCGACAAGATGCTGGCTATTATAATGGAGAGCCTGGAAATACCTCCTGCTGATCAAATAGCCAGCATATTTTCTTTGTTTAGAAAACACTCTTGATCAAATTTATTCAAATGCAGAAATTATGTTGTTCATTATCCAAGGATCCTTCAAAATGAAGATTTCATTATATACCTACTGTACTATTAAAGTATATGTATACAATAATTTTTTTTAAAGTTGAGACCATCATAAATCATTCTACTTTTAGATCCCATTCAAGTGTACTTCCACATATGGTATTTTTTAATAATTTAAATTATGACTCATACAAAGTCAACATAAACAAACATACACACTCAAAAGAAAAAAAGAAAAAAAACCTGGGAATGAAACCACAACTGCAATAACCTTAGCAACACATGGCTGATTGAAATCACAGTGCCTGCCTACTCAGGTATGAAATGACGGGATTTTTCCCCCGTTTTTTTTTTTTACCTGGTCATTAGAAGAGCTAGGGAAGACAGCAGCCTCTGAATCATGTGGCTGAGATAAAACTGTGATATTATGAAGCTACAGAGCCTGATCCTGTCATTTCTATCTGCCAGCCTTTGTCTTCAAGGTTTCAGAAAAACACTTGAAATGACTGCTAGTCACTCTCTCACTACACCTGATGATTAAACGACCAGTAGGCTCAAACTCACGAGAGACAGGAAATAAAACTGCACAAATATAAACTGCATTTGCCTTTAATAATTTTAGAAATCCTGAAAGCTTCCATTTTTTTTAAAAGAGTAAATTCTGCAGGTTAGAACTGCTATAAATACAATTTGGTCTCAGATAGTCATAATTGAATTTTCATGTCTTTGTTTTGATTTTATAATGCAAGAAAAACTGCTCAATATACCTGGAACTCAAATAAAGCAATTTCATATCCACAGTTGACTTTGCATCTAAACACTGTAAATATGCACTCAGAAAAAGCCTCTGTTTAGAGCATCTTTTTTCCCTTCAGTTCTATCTATTCTGATGTTAACTGAGCTCCCCTGAGATCTTCAAACAATGCCATACAGCCATTGGTATTGCATTAATAGACAAAATTACCCTAAACACTGGTAACTGTCAATCATTCCAAATTCATCTTGGTTGTGTAGTTGTATAAAAGGTCATAATTGGAAGTCAAGAAATGTGGCCCATGGAGCTGGGAAGTATTTGTAAATTTTATTCGATGCCTGCAGCGTGATGCTGCAAATTTACATCATTTTCACTTTGCGAGACATGCCCTGTGACAAACAGTATCAAGTGCAAGAACTCTACACAATAAAAAAAAAATATTACTGATATCACTAAGGAGAAAATTAAGAATTTTGAAACCAGAAGCTTTAATCATGTTCCTATACATCCGTAAATTACCAACAATTACTAAAAAAAATACTTGGCAGCTAGAGCAAGATTCAAGAGCATAGCTACTGGATAAACCTTCAGCTCTTGCAACAAATATAGCCCCCTGCATTGAATGTATCACTGTAGAAGATTTATACAAATCGGAGTTGTTTTAAGTTGGGCTTGTCATCTTTATTCCAATCAAATATGAATATCTCATCATGCAAACTGAAAGCAAACAAAACTTGTGGATGCTAATTGCAAAGTATGAGACTGCTGATGCAAAACATGAGCAAACAACTTTGTTCAAACACTGCGGGAATGAACAATGCGGCTACAGTTGGAGAAATTCCCAGCTCCCCGCAACTATTTGATGAAATAAAAGAGGAATGGCGGAAACCCTCTAATTTGTACGTTTACCAACACTTGTACAGCATTTAAATCTGTGTTTGTAGAAGCTGGCTTGGTACTCAATCCACTTCCAATCTAGAAGGGGGGAAAATTCAGATCTATATTAAAATCCAACAGCAAATGTTTGGTCTTTGAAACATTAAAACATCATCCTCGTCATATCAGTACTTTTTCCCCTTTTTCATTCTTAAAGGTAAACTATGAACAATTACCCCAATGGTCAAATGCACATTTCCCCCGAAATGTTATCAAAATTATTAAATCTTGTTCTTTCTAAGTCCTTAAGTGTATTGACCCTTGATTTCAAACATTACAGAATAAACTTATTTGTGTTTTTTTTATCATTATCATTTTGGGGCCAGAATGTATACAGGATGTGCTTAAATTATGCCTCTTCATATTTTCTTGAAATCCCCAATTGCCAACTATTCTCATATCGACAACACAACTCGAAATCCAATAGCTACAGAAGCCATAGAAAAGAAGCTCAAGTATAATAGTCTTCGTACGACATTGCAGCACAGCAAATAAGCCATAATTTGTTTTATTCACTATGCCAAAGCTGAAACAGGGAAATTCCATTTAGGACAGACTTAGTGGTCCTCAGTCACTAGCTGTAAGTCCTGCAGACTTGTTTGGATACATTGTGTGGTGTCTTTGAATTACTGTATGCTGATTCCATGTCCCCACACAGAAATTCTCACAGGACACTGGTAAAATGAAAAGATATGGCATTCTAACTTGTCTAAAACACAAGTTTCTGCTCAACTGAGGAAATGATTCCATCCCAGAGCACTGTACTGATTAAACTCTCTAATATTACTGAAGTATAATAAACTTAAATTACTTCAGTTTTCCCATCCCGTATTAGATATATTATGAGCCAAACCCATCTATAACAGCAATCCACATAGTAAATACACTGTATAATGACAAATCCTAAGTACAATACCACTACAATTCTACATAGAATGCAACTCTTCTGGCTTCACTCTTATTAAACAAATGATTCATATGTCCATTCATGATTTAACAAGATTTTTAAAAAGCTTTAAATTTTGGTTAATACCATAATTTTCAGTAAAAAAAAAAAATCATCTTTTGTTTTTATTTTTTATTGATATCAGAAAAAATCTCAACAGAGTTAGATTTTAAATTAATTTTGGGTACTCAAACTCACTGTGACTAATTAAAACTTCAAGGTATATGTAGGATTGAAAGAATTTGGAAAAAATGATTTACTCTGCTCCTATTTTGTGATGTTTAATGGACTTTTGAGTTCAAATACCGTACGTTTGTTACCTCTACCTATCGCATTCCAAACACCTTACAGTTATACATTTATAAGCTTCAACCAACAAAACAAAGCTTGGAAGCAAGAACTGATTTCTCTTTTGCATATTATTTAATATTTATATATAGAAAAAAAATCTGGGGAAAGATATATAAAAATTTACTTTTTCATCTCGCAAGAGTTTGTGATTACCGGTAATTCTACATACTATGTAGTTTGGGTTTGGTATACTGAAATATGAAATATGAAAAATACGAAAAGGAGGAGACAAACTAAGTTGATTCTGTGACAAACAGTACCAGCTGGCAAACACAATGTAGTGTGCTGAATAATTAAAGGCCATCTCAACCCCTCAGCTCACAAAAGCATCAAATTTACAGCATGATAAGCACTGCAACACAATAGTCTCTTAACTATAATCCAACTTAAAAATAGGGTTCCTGTATGTACGTAAGCACCATCGTCATTATCAGTTTTATAAAAAAAAATAAAACAAAAGTATGAATCATCTAAAAAACATTTCTGATAATGATAATAATATAAGTGTCTCCTTATCTCTCTCACTATATAAAATATTAATTAAAGCCCAATCCAACAGACTTCTAGATTTCCTGTGTGTTATAAAATTACCTTTTAAACAAATACCATGTCTTCACTAGCAAAGTTTTTTGTACATTCTTCCTTTTTTTAAAGCCAATGTTTATTTGTTTTTTCCCCTAATCCTAATTCTGAAAATGTATTGTCAAGGGACACACTCTAAAGTTTTTATGTAAATCACACTGCATGACCCTGACAGACTTCAATGGTAGATTTAGATAGCATGATTGAAAACTAAAACTATTCAGTAGATACAAAGGTGGAAGCAAAGGGGCTCTCTTTATAAAGGGCCTCCTCTGTAAGGTCAGGTATTGTATATGGAAAGATTATGTTTAGTCTCACCATGTATGTTATCACAAGAGACAGAGAGAGAAACTTATTATTCAAAAATTTTAATAAAATATGAAATAAAATTCCAAAAACTTTGTCCCTCTAAAATGTATTATTTCTGTAAAATCTCCAACAGTATCCCCCTGATTAAAAAATTCTTATTTGACAAGTTTTAAACTGAGAAACAAAAATATTAAATGAAATGTTACAAAAATTCTAAGCTCATATTGTTGTCTCCAAGCGAAATTCTCCCACTTCATGACCAACAAAATACAAGAGGGATGGAATTCCCGCGATAAACCCATCTCCTTCACTGTTGCTTAGTTGCAGCATGAAGTCACATAAAAGGAAGCATTCTGCACAGCAGAAATGAAAACTAATAAACAAAATTTCTTTAACCAAAAGAGAAAATTAATTGAGTTCTATTGCTAAGATATCAGCTTTACATACTATTTCAAAAAATCTTTCTTCTTTTGTCATGTATTGTCTATTTTTATCTAAAATAAATTGTTTCTCTTTATCTTTGTAAAAAAAAATTTCACCAGCAGCATGCTTATATTTGCTTTACAAGTGGTATTCTAATTTTAGCATCACAGTCTATCCTGCACAGCTGCTACTGCTAATTTCATTATTTGGTGGGTACAATTCTGTTTATATGTAAAGTGATTTCTGAATATCTAGTCTATAATGTTAACATGCAGTTTTCTCTTTTGTATATATCATGCCAGTTGTGGTTAGTAAAGGGGAAATAATCCATGCCAGACCCAAGGGAGAGCAATCAGGGTAGCTTTCTGAAAATTAGTAAAAGCTTGTGTCTGGAGTATAGTTTCTTTCTGCGTAATATAAGTTGTTTTATGTCTGTAAGAGGATTCAGTTTGAATATAATACATTAGTAGTTTATCAGCCCAAGATGTCATGGCTATTAGTAGATACAATCCCATTCCTAGGAAGTGAAAATAAAATACCTGAATATAAACCCACCAATCGCTACCCTCGATTAAAGACACTGGTGGAGTGGAAATCTTGTTCAAAGATTTCAAACTGAAAAAGACAGCAATAAGATGAGGATGTGCAGAAAGTAATAAAGCTATTTATCTTATTAATTAACTTCAGAAGTCATTCTTGCATCTCTTTCAGCTTAAATTAGACTAAGCAAAAGTTTCCTTGAAATTTCGGTATAGCAATTTTATGTGGTATTTTGTGCAACATACTGGAAGTTATGTTGATGCCATTTGTAGCTTTTTTTCCCAACATTCTGCCATGCTCTTGTAACAGGTGTGCTATTATATGGTACGTGGCAGATGGTCGCTAGAGAATGCTGCCCAAAAATATTCAGGTACATAACACACTACTGTCACATTTTTTGAAATCCTCAACTAACTAAAAGATATTTGCTTTGTTGTTAAAAGGGTTATAAAATATTTTTAAAAAATACGGATACACTGATGTTAAACCAAAACAACTCAAAAAATATTCATGGCTTTTCCAAGCTGCTCTGGTTACAATAACCACAGGTAGATGTGTAGATAATTACATTACAAGAACACCTGACTCTTGGAGTTATTAGAACTGCCACTACATAGTGTAATTGGGTCCAAATGTGACAACACCAGGCAGATGGGGCATTTCTAATAATGCTTCACAGATCTAGCAAATGTATTATCCTGCTTTTACTATTATTCCCTAGGGGCACAATGCAGGGGAAATTAAATCATTGAAGTCAATGAGAAAATGTTTTCTTTTTCATGTTGTCTCTCTTTTTTTTTTTTGGCTCCCCCATTCTAACAACACGATTAGTAGTTAATAAATATTCAATTTTTAATTGGTTTCAATTTAGTTCATTTGAAATGTCAGTCTTTTCTATTACAGAAATTAATTGCTTGGACTGATCTAAATAATTCATAATGCCCCTGGGCTGGCCCCTTGTGGCTTTGACAGTAGTCACACTTACTATCCACATGTCTTTGTTTACCCAAAGCCAAATGTCAACAATGCTGAACTTTTCTTTGTTTCCCCTAACGTGTGTAATATAACATCATCTAACAGTACCAAGTGTTACTGGGGAAAAATGCTACACAAAATAATTTCGTCGAGAGTCTGCATAATAAATTCTTTGACTATGACAGTTAACATATTTTTTCATAATGCACAAGTGCAAATGAAATAAAAGATAAAACCTCTATTTAATTGACAGATTAAATAAAATTCCGACTTGGAAGCATCCTGTCTGTGCGGGAGAACTGAATAGCAGAAAGATTACCATTCCAGCGGTTCTGAGAAACCTTAGTCTCCATCAAACAAAGATTGTATTGGGCCACCATATGGCTCTCTACACCTGACAAGTCTACTCCGACTCAAATAAACCCCCATGTTTGTTTCTTTATCTCTACCATGATTAATAAGAATTTTCTGATTGAATCCACTTGGTTATTATTTTAAACAAAGCCTTCAATTTCTTTTTCTCTCTCTTTCTCTGTAATATTTTTTAATTTTGTCTACAGGTTTCATATGTACATGATGTATCATGGTTGATAAGGTTCGCCTAGTATAGTAACTGTAAATATGCAACTGTTAAAGAAAGTTGTAGCTGTATCTAGATTTATAATCTGTATAAATATAAGTGATTTCTAATGAATATAAAAACCCATTAAGTAAAAAAGAAAATTGTAGATTTTATCAGTACCTAAGCCAATGCATGACTGCTTCCACAACTAAGGCAGGATATAAAACAGAAACAAATTCATGAAAACACCTTTGCAGTATGAATAAAGGACTTTGATGTCAAGGATTTAATAACATTTGTACATGTGATAACTGGTGCTATGACCAAACAAAGGACAATAATAAAACGTTAACATCCGTTATAGAACGTATCATAAAGAAATCTTGAATGTTCATTCTAAAATGCTAA